AGGTGTGATCTCTCCAGTGCGCTATCTATGGCCCATGGCATACCCAAGAATGGTGGGTCTTGATAAGATGGGCCTGGTGTTTTGCACTCGCTGGGCATGTCTACATGTGCTATCAGCATGCAGCGATAATTACACTGGAGTTTATTGCTCCCAGGTGCACTGTTTGAACGTACACCTGTGATTGTAACATGTTAAGCCGGGTTGGAGCAGCCCCCGCTGACAGCAAGCCCAGGGGCTGGCCAGCTTACCAAGCCTGGGGCTACTCTTTCCCAGCTCAACGTGGTACAGAAGGGCTGGCTGGGGCACAAGGCTGCTCCAGTGTGGGGCTAGCCAGCAGGCAGCCCCCATACTGAAGCACCCTCGAGTCCCAGCCAGCCAGGGCAGCATCTACTTATATGCTGCTGCACACAAAAAACATTCTGCAGCAGGACAGTATTCATGTTTCAAGTATTATCTTGCTGGGGAGTTAATTAGTTTCCTGAGGCCTAATAGGGCTGCATGTGTAGACACGAGACAGTTACTGCTGAGTTAATTAGTCTTCTGTGCAGTAAACGTCTCATGTAGACACACCCAGCATGCTGTTACGGACTGGCACATTCACTCTTTCTGCTCTTGAAAGCCTATGATCAGTCACTGTAACAGAACTTGAGAGAACACATTATTTAAATGCAACAGCAGCCTTAAGAAATTTAACTGATGCAAGTTATTTATTACATGAGGCTTTACACTTCTGAATCTCCTCTTCACGGAAAATGTAGCTCTTCTTTAAACAAGGCTGTTTAGCAAGAGAAATGTGCTGTGAATTGTAGAGATGAAGGGAGCAGTGCTTCTTTCAGCTCCCCCTACATTCCAGAGCGCGATTTCATTGGTTTTAAAGGGACGAAGCTATTACCTGTCTGTTGATTCCGATAGGCAGACTGGACCCACTAGTGGCTCGACTCATTGGTGCTACTACTGCCACTCTGGTAGGGGAAGGTGCCGACTGCCTTTTTTTAGGGGGCAATGCTGGAGGAGGGCTGCAAGACACAAGGAAACAGGGTATTTCATATACTTTGTTAGCAAAAGGTTTCTTGGAGACTCCAGGAGACTGAGAACAGGTTTTTACTGTCACATCATTTTAGGGCTTCTTGCCAAGAGCTGGGTGGGAACGTTTCAGCAATCTATTTTTTCTAAACCCTGAAAATTTTCACGGGACAAGAAAGTAGCTCTTATCACAATCAATTTATGCACCATTACTCAAAAGAGGAGATGGTTGTCCATGCTCTCCCACAGCCTGTATTGTAAGGGTCTATATTTTGGCACTGGGACAAAGTTGGGAAATGCCCATCTCTCATTACTTAAGATAGCCACTTCACAGTACATGGGAGCACTCCCTGTAGTTTTATATGTTGTTTTACACGCTACTCCCAAGTCCAGGAACTCTCAAACCTGCCTGGTCTCAATTTGTATGCTCATAGCCTCTTTCTAAAACATACCAGACCCTTTCACAGAGTAAAGAGAATTTAAAACTACCCAGGAACAAGATTCTTACAACCAACCACAGCCAAAATCCCTATTTGCACATAACCATGACATACATTTTCATACCACCCATTTTTATTAAAACTGTCAGGTCAAACTGTAGTAGAAACACACCAAAACCTCTCAAAACCTTGGGGTTTTATTCCTTCTCAAAAAAAGAGTGCAGAAACATTTCTTTCATTAGTAGTAAGAGTGATGACAATGCACAGTTGTATCTTTTCATCAGTATTTAACCTGCTAAACAATGCACAACTATCTGCATGCAGATTCAAGCGTGATAACACACCTGCTGAAATAAGCACATTACGTTTGGCTTCAGTGGAAACTGATCACACCCTATATACAACTAACACAAAGTGCAGAAAAGTATTATCCAAACAAGGGGTGTAGGCATTCATATCTTTTAAATGAGAATACTTTGCACTAACATGGTGCCTTTCATCCAGGGATCTCAAAGCCCTGTAAAGAAGTTATCCCCAAATTTAAAACAGATAGAGGAAGGTACAGAGAGGCGAAATAACTTGCTTAAACTCGACAGCAAGCCAGAGGCAGAGTAACTCTAGATTCTCAGCCCTTATTCTGTCAATAGGCAGTTCTGACTTCCCTCCTCAGATGAAGGTCCTGAAAGTTTCCTTTAGAGGCATCAACAGGCAGTCTATACACAGGAAAGGATACGTAAAAAAACCACTGGCCGATGGAGACAAGAGATATCCTAGAGACAGATGGCTTGGGAGCATTACCTGTTTTCTGCCACACGAATGCAGGGTAGAGGGGGTTTGGGAGGTGCAACCTCTTCATCCATGGAGTCAGTCAGTATCTCTGTAGACTGAGTCAGACCAGTTGTCTTGTTGAGAATTTCCATCTCTCGGTCTGTCAGGGGAAGCTCTGATGCACTGTAAATATCACACATACTTTTATATTTTTTTACACACACACAGGTGTGCATGCTATTATTTATTACTGTAAGGTATGCCTATGGCCTCCAAGCAAAACTCCACTTGTATCGACACTAAAATGTATGATTGCAGCAGCCACGCACATTTTCATTGCCAGATTCTGGATTCCTCATTCACACTGAGAATATTTTATGCCTCAAGTAGTTCCACTGTGAATAGGGCTACCTGAGGAGTACAGTGCTACTACCATGTGCAGAAGTATATCAGGTACCAGCCCTGAAATATTCAGCTATTAGGGGGAAGACACAAGCCCATGTGGAACTACCACGTAAGACACATACACGTGCTAAGGCCCCCAAATGAAGTATTTCCTGGTGACTCACCTCTCAGATTTACACGTTGGTAAACTTGTTTTAACTGGGCTTGTGGGAGAGGGATGGTCCTGCTTCTCTTTCATGAGTTTAACCAGCTCCTTAAAAAAAAAA